AGAATTGGGAGATTATGATGAAATCCTCCGGCCAATCCACCGCACTCCCTACAAAACCAATACTTCAATGTCAGTAAGATGTTCACTAGCGACTGGCCCTATTCAGGCAGTCAAACTGAGGTTCTAGTAGGAAGCTGTGAGCAGTAGAGTACAATAGGTTGAAGGTGAGATAATTACTCATCGAAGAAGACATTTCTAAATGGTCAGGCTATTTCATGAATTGGTAGAAGTTAGAATTCATGGACTGGCCATTAAAATCGGGTCCGAGTGGGTTAATGATCTACCAGCTAGCTTTCTTTGTAACCAGAAGGTCCTGGTTTTGAACCGTGGTGGTGGGTGAGTACTAATGAAGAGCCACTAACTGGAACGAAACATATGTCTGGCGCTTCCAGCTGATCTTCTAATAGCTATCTAACCGATGTCAACTCATGATAAATCCCTCCAACTAATCGGCAGAAAGCGTTAGATCTAAGTTTCGCGCTAATTGGCACGCGTTCTTACTTGAAGATGTATAGATTAACATTTAGTTTTTTAAAAACAGCTGTAAAATGAATGTCACCAGGGAGCTTTGCCAGCAGAATGCACATTCTTGCAAAATGTTTTTCAGCTGGGAAGACTAAATAAATAATATATTCAAACTTTTATCCAGAAACCACTACTAAAGACGAGAAAAACAGTTCATACGGAAAGTTGCAGCGGTAAGGGGAAATAATTTATGGAAAATGACAGTGACCATGCCATGATAGTAAAATCCATCAAGACATTTTATAAAATATCAAAAAACAGCCTCTATTCAACATACAGTTAAACCACTAGAATTCCATAAGTAGTCAAGCCTAAGTGACCTAGATGTTCTTCAGCGGTAGAATGTATGCCAACCACTCACTTGATTCAATGTTCGACTCCCGTCGTACATACTGCTTTACCTCACTTAACCTCATAAAGATTAAAGGCTGGGTGTGAGACTAGCATCCCTGACCCGTAAAAACCTCAAAGTTACTGAAAGTTCAGAGCTTGTGTTTAAATTCTTATGTCCCACTTGGAACGTAAAGAAACAAGTGAATGACCTAAGCCGAATCATTCTTGTATATAAAATATGACTTGCTGACTACTACTAAACTAAGACTGAACAGAAAATAACGATGATAGTGGAAAAAAATCCAGAAAAACAAGAAAATATTAATCAACATTGATTAGTGTATAGAATGAATTAAATCATAATATCCAATGAGTCTGTTCTGTTATTTTAAATTTCAATATGACCAGATGGAATAAAACATCCGTAAGCTAATTCATGCTATCCCATGTGCTAATTAAAATATTCAGAAAATGTAACCAACGGCAAACTTCACCAAAAAGGGAAAACTGTCTTAGTTAAAAGATCGACAACTAGGAAATAGAAACGTCTTTTAAATAGGCACGGGGATAATAAGCGAGACTTTTATTTTGGAAACTTGTGACTAGATGACTTAAACGCCCCCAAGCATCATGGATAATAGTTTTGTTCAAACATTTTACTGGACTTAAAACTTATTATGTTACTTTCAGTGCTGATTTATTTTAAAAGTACTTTTCAGCTTGAGAACTTCCACAGAATAGCTTATTGCCCTCTTAAATGGGAGGTCTTTTTGTTCAGAGAACAAAAAGCGAAATGACTCATTTTTGGATCAACACTCACTACTGTGGTGATTTATAAATTCCAAATGATCGACAAGTAGGCGTGTTCTTCGAAAATGTTATTTAATTACTTTCCTGAACGTGCTAATTTGTTATTTCGAAATTTTTAGGAACAAAAGTCATGGAGTGTGATATACTCATCTTAACTGGATGAAGTAGATTTCCTCAAAGTTACCATGACTCACCAAGGTTAGAATTAACGTCCCAATTGGTTGACTGGTCAACAAGCTTAGACCTGCAATTTGAATGTTTCACTTTCGATTCTTGGTGCGGCAGTAGGTGAGTAGTACGGAAGAGTCCCAAAACAGGATGAAAACAGGATGTACTTCATAGTTTTCAATAGCTGACTTCCTTAAGTGATTTCAGTTCGTGAAGACTCTACAATGAAATCAATCCAAATTCCTACAGAAACACATAATCCAAAGAAAAGAATATACTGAAGGATTTCAGCATCTTTTCTCAAACACCCGAAGATCTCAAATGCACTCTAATGATTTTAATATTTAAGTAGATATTTTTGATAATTTTTTTGGAAGCATATATTGGTTTAAACTATAAAAAGAATGCAAAGTCTGAAGTACATACTGTCAAATCAAAACACATCCACTTTAGAAGTGTTTTGAGAAGTTAATGAATTATCAAAACTAGATTTTTTATATGCTGTAAAGCTACTCAGACAGTCGATGTTTTTATTCAAAAAATGAAATCTACATATCCCTTTTTTCTTCATATATGTCCTTTTATAATGGTGGCTGCTGCTTCAGAGTACAACATACTCTCCAAATACCAGTAAAACAAGGTTGTGTTAAACAAGAAGATAAATAACTCATAAATGACTCATTTTTCACACGTTTTAAGACTCAACCCGGCTTCCTTTCGACAGACACGAGATGCTTATTCAAAGTATATAAGTCTGCATAGAATTATGAAAGAAAAACAAATGTACCAGGATAATATGGGCTTATTCTTTAATTATTTTGTGAATTCTTCTCAAATGGCTAGACATTAAAGAATTCAGAAAAACCACTTAGATAATCATGGACCAACGTTACATTGTAATTTCTGTTAGTTCCAGCTGATAGTGCAATTTATGTGTTTTGTAATGTTCAGTTTTTAGCCAGCTAAGAAGACACTGTGAAATAATACAGAATAAGCTCATATCATGCAGGTATAATTGTCGTTCTTGATTTTTTTCGAGTTTACTAATAAGAAGAATTGTACGAGATTCTATAAAATCAATTTAATAAATTTGAGAACATTTCAAAACCGGCTGGTTTATTATTTTTTTCTAAAGTCGTAGAAAATGTAATTCAAAATTTGCTTAGCATAGAGTATAGCATATGTTTTAATTCTATATACATATATATATATGTACAGAATCTTGCATCTTAGAGTTGCTGATTTAACGCTAAGGACTCTTTCTGACATTGATTAGATAAACTCCTAATATATATTCAGGAAAAAATTGAAACCAGAATTTTTTGGAAATATTATCTGAATATTGTTTTGTGGTTGTGTGTAACACCAGGTGTGTTTTTTTTTACAAAAAAAACATCAGAGAACATGTACACACACATAACTGTTATTTGTTGCAGTGTATCGATAACCAAAGTATTCCTGTCTAGATCTAATGGTATAAACATCTCAGTGCACAGTAGAATCACAATACTCAGATGACCAACAAGGCTGCATATAGGATGAAATTATTCCTGCTAGAGAGAGACAGTTAAGTTGATAATTAACGAGCAATCACTTAGTACAGATACATAAGCATATTCAATGAAACATGAATAAATAAATATGTGTATACATTATAAAGGCGACAAAAAATTCACAACGACTAAGGTAAGGATCAGTAAAGGAAAACTTATTCAAAGTTATTAATGGTTTCAGTGATTTCAAAATAAACGACTTTATTTTTATCTGGTAAATGAGACCATGGTTACGATGCAATTTAAATGCGAGGAAAACAATTCTATTTCATGAGAGTAGTGTTATTCTTTATGAGGATATTTCATGACTTATTTGAGTAGTTAAATAAGTGCTAGTTTCTCACATCAAATGGTTTTACATGTATAACTATGAGCTTCATGGTTTTACTAACAAAATTTATTTAACTATCAAACTACAAACTTAATGGTTAGACAGTAATGGTCAGTAACCTCATTGACTTTGAAAGGGCTTTCGACAGCGTCGTTTGAGAGTTGATTTGGTAACTACTTCGCTACTACTGGGTGCCACTGACAATTATGCATCTCATCCAACAGTTGTACGACAATGCTGCATGTCAAGTAATCCACAACGGGAAACTCACGGAATCATTCAAAGTGAGGACGGGAGTAAGACAAGCTGGCTGCTGACCACTTCCAATGGTTTTCCTGAAGGCTGGTAGACTGGATAATGCGTCAGACAGTGGGCAGTGGGAAACAGGCATAAAATTAACCCACACAAAAATAACTAGATGATCTGGACTTCGCCGTTGACATTTCTACTATTTCCCACAAACTGGAAGATATGCAAGTGAAAAGCGACAAGTTCGTAGAAGAAGCATCCAGAGAAGATATGACTTCAGATTAATGTAGAAAAAACAGAGGTGATAAGAACTTCTGGCCAACACCAACAGCAGCAACAACAAGAGACATCGATCAGTATAAACAGGAGAAATCTGAAAGAAGCAATCTCCTTCATTACTTACCGCCCTACCTGCGAAGTATCGTTTCAACTATAGGCGGATGGAACTGATCAGGAAATCAAAGCAGCGAGTATCGGGAAAGCAAGTCAAGTTTTCATTTCTCTCAAGTCTATGTGGAAATCAGCAGCACTCAGCATGAAAAATAGGATCCGGATTTTCAACTCCGATGTGAAGTCAGTGCTGCTATACGGATCAGAGTCTTGCACCGTGTGTCACGAAGGTCACTTCGAGCAGGCTACACACTTTTATCAACAGCTGTCTTCTGTCAATACTCAAGATCAGATGACCAGAAGAGATCGGCAACAGAGATTTCTGGAAGCGAACCAACCAGGAACTAACTGTGCATCTATTAGCAATAATATGTTTTCTACTCTCAAATATATTAAATCAATTAATTCGCCCTATTAATTCACTGAAGCATAAACAGAAAGCTTCCTCTCATACCTTAACACTTAATGTTGCTGGCTTTCGTCATCAACACAGTGCATTGCTTAACTCTGAGAATTGCATCCACCAAACAAAGAAGGCAATTCTTATTATCAAACGATTTCTAAATATTGATTTTTTAGGCAGCTGTAGAATTAATTGAACAAAAACTGAAAAAAGAATGTTAGCGAAAGAAAACCACGTGTAGCTGAGAAATTTTCATTGAGCTTTAAAAAATAATAACAATCATTACATGAAAGTAAAACTGTTCAGTTATGTACAAAATAAGAATTGAAAATACAAACCTAAGTACTTATCTGTTGATAATACAATAATTTTATTTTTTCATAATGTTTCTGTAATTAAATTTCATCACAAATCTCCTTCACTTTTATGCTTGACAATTCCTCGTTAACGTAAACACTTTCATCTTGTTTACAATTAATGTTGTAATTTTCAAGTTGACTATGATTGCATCCGTGACTGTGGTGAGGACGATGCCGATGATGTGAACTTCCATGATGAATGTTACGATTATGTGGATATGCACAATGATTAATATGCAGAGAGTTCCTCCAATTATTCAGTGTACCAGCTGGTTTGAGTCTATTATTCTTTGTAATGTTATAGGCGACTGGATGAAATTCAGTCCGTATAACTGTTACTGAACTCCCTCTTGCACGATTATTATTATTATTATCATTATTATTACAAGTGCTATGATTTATATTATTAAACGGACATAGACAAGTGAACATTCGATTCAAATAAATTCGAAAGCCTGGCAAACCAATAGCATATATCATAATATTAATTACTGAATCAAAAGTTAAAAGTAAATCTGCAACAAGTTTTGCTAAATGAAAATCAATCATAACAGTAGTATAATGCTGGATAATAACTAGTATAAAACTTGGTGTTTGAAAACATAGAAATGAAATTGCTAGAAATAATATTGTTCTAGTCGCTTTCATTTGATTTCTTCGGCGTACATTGGTAACTTCAATAATTTTAGAATCACGCCATGGTGAAACATAGAATGATATAATAAATGACATAATTAAAACAATTAAAGTTGGCGCAATTACCTGAAATACAAAAAAACAATAAGCCTCATAGTTACTGATCACATTTTGGTCTAGTAAAGCATCTATATGTGTAATGGTTATTGTTTTTTTGTCATTAATGTTAGATAAGTCAGATTTAATTGTGCTCAGCTGAGATGAGGTCATCAGATCAGTTAAGTGTGTATTTACACTATCCATATAATCATTTGTAGGAGCACAAATAATTGCATAATCATAAAATGCACGTACAATTCCTAGAAAACCAGATAAAATCCATAAAAATCCGTATATTATTTTTATTGATGAATGAGACAGTAAACGACGTTTACGCATTGGATAAACTACAACTTCTGTACGAGCTGAAGTGATCAATACATTACACCAATTCCGCGTGCATAAAGAGCAATCAGATCCCCAGTTGATTAATGCGAAGAATATAAACTCTGTGACTGTTATCATTCGTGGACCCGGTGATGAAGATATCAGATGTGTGGTATATTCTATACAAACAAATGAATGAAACAGCACTTCAGTAGCTGATAATACTAGTAAACTTGTTCGCATAACTGATTTTCTATGCTGTCTTGTAAATACTGAAATGCATAATGTGTTTAATATTAAGGCAATTATGCTAAGCACTAAAATTGGAAGAGAATATTCCAACTTTGTGACGCCTGTTGAACTCTTATTACCAGAACATGTTGAATTATATTCAATCCACAAAGTACCATCCAACATGTTCTTCTGTATAAAAATTTCTAGAAATATTTAAGTTTCATGCATCAGTAATCATTAAAATTATTATACAAAAACAATATCTCAAGAAACAGAAAATAAAGTATTTCCCAAAACTATGTGATTGGTCGGTGAATTGTCCAATATGAACGAATGATATAAAATCTTTGTAAAACCAAAACACAGAAAGTAACGAGTAGGAAATTAGCAACAAATAATCAGAGAAATAAATAGTCTCAAGTTTTACAATGATGTGAAAACCAGGGAGTACTTGGAAGATGTTTCGCCCTAATATGGGACTCATCATCAGTACAGATACACTGCAATTCAAACTCAGGACTGTTCAGTCACTGCTACCCAACTGAATCGCACATGAATTCTAACTTCTATCAATTCGTAATTTTTAGCGCCACCACCAACCAATGTAATCGGCGATTATTTCTCCTCACGTCCGACTGGATGAGCCCTGGTGGTCACGATTACTAAATAGAACATCAGGCAACTTCGTAGTGTAGTAAGTCACTGGCGAGCACCAGGTTAATCCACTGTCGAACTTGAAACAAACTAAATCCCAGTGAATTAACTTGATGCCCACCAGTGACTTACTACACTACGAAGTTGCCTGATGTTCTATTTAGTAATCGTGACCACCAGGGCTCATCCAGTCGGACGTGAGGAGAAATAATCGCCGATTACATTGGTTGGTGGTGGCGCTAAAAATTACGAATTGATAGAAGTTAGAATTCATGTGCGATTCAGTTGGGTAGCAGTGACTGAACAGTCCTGAGTTTGAATTGCAGTGTATCTGTACTGATGATGAGTCCCATATTAGGGCGAAACATCTTCAGAGTACTCCCTGGTTTTCAGCGGTATTCAAAATCATACCAATTCGTGACTAAATTTGGAACAAAAAAATTCCAACAAACCAATACTTTAAAATACACCGTTTTACTTAACTTCTCAAATAAGAGCTACGACAAATAAGATTCCACTTATAATCGTTTTTTGACATTTCATGAAGATATAGTAAATTTCCGTTGAATTTACTGTCATTATTTGGTCACAAGAATTGCAACTATCATCAGTGTTGACCTTCTGCTGCTATCTTTAAGTGCGATTGAAGCATAAGCAACTTAAAAGTGTGCAAAATTCATGCTTTTAGTGATATTTAATCAATATATTGCCTGCTATAAACAAAGGTAGGTGATTTCCACTGAAAATAAAACGAATGTTTGAATAACGATCGGGTTGTTTTTCACTTATCTATGTTTTATACAGATCACACAGAACAGTTATTTTATGCATTTTTCAACATATACTGAAGAACTTGAGGATAAAGGATTCACAGGCGTTAATGATTACGATCAAGAACAATCTATTGAGCACTGGCCATATTCTGAACCATCTGGAGGCGTTCAAAATAATCAAAAACCAGGAGAAACCTAGCCTCCTACGCTTTCCTAACGCAATGCTATCAAATGTTGAAAAAAATCTGTGTAAGCAAAAGAGACAATGGTGAATCTTCCACTGACTTGGTGATAACAAAGCATACAAATTTTATTACAGCATCTACTGTCCTGTTTAAAAAATTTCATTCATTCTCAGCCTAACTCAGTTGTTTGTCATTTCATCAAAAATATACCTTCTGGAGTTACGTAATCTATAATATTGATATTCTCTTCTCAGTTAAGTTTTATTTATTTTTGTCTGGACACTAGTCAGTAGCTAGTGTAATGTGTCTAGTCCTTACTTTGGTGTAAACTGAATTCTATCAGTCAAGTTTGCAATGTGGCCATCATTCTAGGTGGCTCGCCATCATGGTGCACTGCGCATTGTTGGTATTAGATGGTTGAAGGGACATGAGTTCCTTCAAAGTTGCAGATTTGCCCTGCTGACGACTGCCGACTAGCACGAAACCTAGGTCCAAGACTTCCTGTCAATCGCCTCCAACCATCCAATAACAGTAAGTTTTATTCCTACTCAAAACATTCGCTAAACTCTGTCTTCTTGTTTCCAAGTATATTCATCAAATTATCCTTATAAATAGCCAGTCCTTATAACTCATAATCACTTAACAGTTTACTTCATTCTGAACTTATGTTAATCATTGATCCCTGCAAGTTGCTCCTTGTCATCATGAAAAAAGAATGTTGAAATCTTTTATACAATTTAGGTTTTAGTTCAGGTTTTAGTTGGCTAAGAAAGCTTCTAAAATATTAAAAGATGAGCTCATATTATTCTGGTACAGTTATCGTTCTTGCTTTGTTCGAGTTTGTTAATGAGAACGATTATATGAAATATTATTATTATTTGTGTATTTCTCAACGATTGAGAAATAAAACAATACTGTTGTCACTAAAGTCAAGCCATTTAATGTTAATTCAGTTGTAAGTAGAGAATAATGCGTTATCCTAAGCTGTGACATCAACTCAATATGTACTTACTTTCCCACTACTAAAGGTTTCTACATCCCTTTCACTTTACTAGAATTGGACACAGTCACATGAGAAAAATGTCCAGTGAACACCAGTGAGATTATAAAAGCCTTAAAGTTCTGTGTGAAATCTACTCATCCAACATTTAAAGGAGAATTATGTAAGCAGACAAATAGGGTAGTCATCAGTTCATAATGTTTTCATGAATAAGTTTGACAAAAAAATCTCAAACATACTCCAACTGAAAATATCACTAAGATAAGTTAATAATGCTTACTTAATATTAAAAAATTTGACCTGCAGAGTTCATTCTTAATATCTTTGAGCAGTCAGTCTCCCAGCATTACATTTACTCCGTAAGAATTATAGACTCTTCAGTTAAACGGAAAGTAAATAGGTATTCTAAAATGTCTCTATTCAACCAAGAAACCATTCGCCAATAAATTTTTTCACTGGGAATCCTCACACTCCATTAGACTTAATGATATCACTTGTCTCAAGTCTTCTTATAAAATCACATTCTATTCTAAAAGATGTGAAGGATTACAAAAGAAGAAATATCAAATACAACCAAAATTCGTAGGAAAAATAACTATCTAAAGAATTTTACTCAGAAAGTCAACACCGACAGCAAACATGAATTAAAAATTGAACAACGCGTCGGTGGCACAGCGGTTAGGACTCTCGCCGATCATGTACATGGTCCAGAGTTCGATCCCTGCCGACGCATACCTGATATATATGGTCGGCCTGCAAATTTTGGGCTACCGATATCCATGCTGAAAATTCCATACTGTACCAAAAATACGGTGTGGAATCAAGCTATAAAAATTAAAAGAAATTTGTTTTAATATATGTTATTCCAATACAAATCGAACCACTTAGACCAGATCAGAAGAGTACTTAGTTCACGCAGCATTGTAGTTGTTTTTACAAAATATCAGACGTGCTAAAAAGAAACCTTGTTTATGCAAAAGGATTTTGAAAGATACATTGTTTAGCCATGTCGACAAAATATAAAGTTTAGAAAATGTGATGTAATAAATAAATATATATCGGACAAACCCATGCAGAAATGAAAGTCAGAAGAAATGAACACCATAGAGCCCCTATTTCACCACTGAGAAATCCAAGAAACTTGAAAAATTGTCGGCTATAAGTCTACACACTACAGAATCAGGCCACAAGACTCATTTCGGTAATGTTGAAGTCATTCAGAAGAATTTCGAGAATCATGAAGGACATCTAACATAAGAAGCATTTCACACACTAAATGAATCAAAATTGCCCGAATAGGAATGAAGAAATTGAGACAAAATTGGACTTGGTCCCAAACACTTCCTTCGTCGCACATGAAATGCCATAACACGTGTGATAAACATTCTCATCATATAAAAACATATGTTATTTTTATAATTCATACATTTATCAAATCCACTAATCTGCACATACTCTGTGAACTTTGATATAAATATATAAAACCAATTCACATTCACTTGATAGCGTAAAAATTACCTCATGCTCTATATAAGCTGGGGTTTTGTATATCACAGTTCAATACTATTTTGACAGAGGTATTAGCACTAGGATGCAAAATGTCAATAAAGGTAATATCATTATCTTCTTAATTCATTGGAAAATAGGGAACAATATAATAATAGTGATTATCAATAGCCCAATGCTGAAATTGTTTGTACCTAATAAATCTGAACTTGTTGCGGACAATTGGTTCATAGATTATTTAGAAGCACTTACCATGTACAGATAGAAACAACTACTTTGCTAAATTGAGCTACATTCTATTATATACTTGCTAGTCATTATGGAAAGATTAAGAAGTCTACAAGTTAATGTAATGATCGAATTAGTATTAATCGTGAGCCTGAATCAAATTATTAATTTTTAATGAAAATAAAGTCACTTGATAACAGGTCACATCTATCCAAACAGCCGTGAGAATATATGAACATTTACACTTAAAGGTGATAATTTCATTTGGACAGATTGATATATACAAAAATTAACAGGTTCATTCAAATTTCAGTACAAAAAATGCTTTATTTCTTAACATTTACAGCAAATTTCAATCAACTTAAGAGATACTCGAGTGCCTTACTGCTACATTGTTGCGACATCAGGCTAAATAGAAGTCGAACTTATTGACTGAAAATCTTTATATATTGTATAGTAGACTAATCCCAATAAGCTCAAATAAAGTAATCTATCTTCATCACCTTCAGTATATTTTGTCAAGCAACAGGTTCCGGATTGCTTCGTGTCCCAGAATCCTTTCGATGACAGTCTATCGTCTGTTGGAAATGCATTTGGTGACAAGCCACATCTCTGAACCATATAGAAGAACTAACTTGACATTATTGTTTAAAATCCAAATCTTGTTCATAGTGCATGGGGCTTCAGATTTACACACTGAAATCAGAGTAATGAGAGTCTGTCTTCCTTTTCCGACCATGGCTTTGACATCCCTGTTCGTGTCGCCTGTAGTCGAAACGATGTTGCTTACCCTGGAAAGTGTAAGAAATGGCTTCCTTCAAATCTCTCTGCCACTGCATGAGCTCGCTAATACTACAGTCGAGAGGCATATAAATTCCCGTACAAAATGGGCAAAGGCTATACT